GCAATGTTATTTGACAGATTAATGTACAAAATAACAGCTATCACTTCTAGAGCACTTATTATGTACCAGGTACTGTATTAAACATGTTTCTTTTAAAGCAAATGAAATCACTTAATCTATACATTAACTCTCTGGAAATAATATATTTTCCTATTTTGGAGATGAGGAAACAGACACAGAGGTTAAGTGATTTGCCAAGTGTCACATGTCTGGTCATGGGTGGAGCCAAGAAGAATCCAAACAGCTTGGCTCCAGAACTGCTATGTTTTCCTGCTGCTCAATTCCTAAGAGTCAGTACTTATGCTTCCTGGTCTACCAATGGGGTGATTTTCTAACATCTTATCTATGTCACCATCATAATAGTATTATTTCCCAATTAGCTCTCTAATCCCTGCCACAAAGTCACAAACTATAGATAGACCAGCAGGAATGGGGTCAAAGAATTTTATATTTGGACATTTCTATATTTCATAAAATAAATATATTTTATATTTATTTATATGGATATATTATGGAATAAAATAAAATTTCTATTAAGATAAAAACTCAGAAATTCTTAGCTTATACAAGCTGTTCAAGCTCCCCAGCTTCCCTCGAATACACATGCACTCTCTTTTACCAAACAAATCATCCTGGCATTAAAAAATTTTTGGAAGAATATTAACATATCCCTCTTCCATCCTAGCTTTGCGCAGAGTCTCATCCTCTCTTTGCAGAACAACATCGAAAGCCTCCTAACTGGTCTTTGAACTTAACCTCTTGCTTCTCTCAGGCCAATCTTCACATTGCTGTCACCCAGCAAAACCACCGAACTGGTGTGGAATACTGCAGGGCGACCTTAGATCACCCACCCTGCCCATACCCCTGGGCCCATCTTCCTTCCCTATTTACTCATTCCCTTCCTTCAACAAATATTACCGACCAAATATTAAGTGCAAACAAAGTTCCTAAGCTAATACGTATTAGCATCCAGCCAGTGAGACCAACAGAGAAAGCAATGGCAACCCACTCCAGTGCTCTTGCCTGGAAAATCCCATGGATGGAGGAGCCTAGAAGGCTGCGGTCCATGGGGTCGCATAGAGTCGGACACGACTGAGCAACTTCACTTTCACTTTTCACTTTCATGCATTGGAGAAGAAAATGGCAACCCACTCCAGTGTTCTTGCCTGGAGAATCCCAGGGACAGTGGAGCCTGGTGGGCTGCTGTCTATGGGGCTGCACAGAGTCGGACACAACTGAAGTGACTTAGCAGCAGCAGTGAGACCAACATTCATTCATTAATCACACAAACAAATGTAAAATCCCAGATGGCGCAGATGTACCTAAGTTCAGGACTGGTGAGTCTCACATTTCTGGGAAGCTAAGGAGGGCATTCCTGAGACCTGAAGGATCAAGTGAGAGTGAGGAAGTGTTTCAGGCAGAGTGACCAGGAACGAAAGGCTCTGAGACAGGACCAAGGACAGGATGGGAGATGGAAGGATGGAGAGAGCTGCTATGCTGATTCAGAGAAAAGCGATGGGAGAAGGGTCCTCGGAAGCTGGAAAGATAGAAACTTATCCAGAGTCTTACAAACAGAAAATGTAGTGAAACTTCAAACCCAGGTACTCTGTCTGGAACCCTCCCCTACAACATATTTCTATCCACAAATTACAATCAAACGTCCACTCTGTGCTAGGCAATGTGCTGGATGCTTCAGACACAAGTCAGTCAATGATAAGCAGAACCAAATAGAATCCGTGTTTCCCAGGAGCTCACAATCCAGCAGAGGAGTCAATCACATAATCGACAAGTAGCATAAAGCTGGAGGTTTTATCACTGTTACTAAAGCAAACGGTGATATGAAAAGAGCATTAAATCTAGTCCAGAGTGCTCAGACTTGTTTCTTCCAAAGTGAACAACTACACTGAGATCTGAAAAGCCAAACATCCACTAGGTACAAGCGGGAGAAGGCTGTTGAAAGCCAGGGGCGTACCTGCTTGGGAGGCTCAGGGAAGAGGAAGCTGATCCAATGTGACAGACAGGTGCCAGTCTACAAAGCCCCAGGCCAGCTTCCCAAGTGTGTGACCAGGGCGGTAGCATCGGGCCCAGCTCTCTCCAAAGGGCCTCGACCTTAATGTGACACTCTGTGGTGGCCATCCTGAAATTCTTAACCATTTTATCTTTGAACCTGTGTTTTGTAAGTGAAGCCCAACAGGACAATGGAGAATGCACAGGAGTGGTGAGGACAGACACTCAAGAACATGCCTCTAGGAGGCCTGGGGCACCCAGCCAAGGTGGCTAGAGCGGGAGCTGGGTCCAAGCGGCAGCAGCAGAAGGGCGCCACCAGCCTGCTGGTCCACCCCAGAGCCTGTCCCTAAGGCACCCTACAGATACTAAATGCTTCAGACTGAACCTAATGACAGGAACTCTGTCAAGACTTAAATCTTTTAAGAAAAAACTTTCTACAAGAATCATCAGCTCTATATGTACTGCAACTTATACTTGTAAATAACTACTTTCAGCCCTGTGTATCCACAGATTCAACCAACTACAGATCAAAAATATTTAGGACAAAATTTCAGTAAGTTGCAAAAAGCAAAACTTGAATTTGGGACTTCCCTGGCAGTTTAGTGGTTAAGACAGCATTTCCACTGCAGGGGCTGCAGGTTCAATCCTGGTGGGAGAACTAGATGCCACAGGCTACAACTAAGACCTGGCTGGATGGCATCACCGACTCAATGGACATGAGTCTGGGTAGGCTCTGAGAGTTGGTGATGGACAGGGAGGCCTGGCGTGCTGCAGTTCATGGGGTCACAGAGTCGGATGCAACTGAACTGAACAGTAAGTAACTGAAGGAGGTTTGACAATCTTCAGTTAAATTGCTCAGTCGTGTCCAACTCTTTGTGACCCCATGGACTTCAGCACGCCAGGTATCCCCAAATAATTAGTTCACCTGCTTTCTATTCCCACTACCCCAAAGGCTAAAAACCACACATTGGTAACAGATGAACCTGCGTTGGATTCCCCACTCTACCACTTTCTTTGAAAATTTAGGTAAATTACTTAACATCTACATATTTCAGTCCCTTAGTCTTTCATGAAAATTAAAGTAATAACTACCTCACAGTTACTGATGATCAAATAAGGTAATACATGTGAAGTGGCTGGCATAGTGCCTCACACACAGTGAGCACTGGGTAAAATGTCAGCTGTCACTCTTAAGATGGACTGCAGCTTCCATCTGGGAAACCACGCAGTCTCTGCTACATATCCACACTGTCAAACAGTAAGTGGACTTTCCAAAAAGAAATTTTCTATTTTAATAACACTTGTTTCAATACTCTTCTCCTCTGGAAAGATTTCAAGTATGTAAACAGATACCAATACAACACACAGGAGAGGTGGTGAGGCAGGGCAGAAAGAGACCCAGCTTTAGAGCCACATATGGGAGTTGTAGACCTAATTCAGCCACAAAGTAATTATGTAACCTGGGCCACTTAAGCTCTCTCTCAACCTTGTAAAGGCGTTGCAAGGATTAACAAAGTATGTAAAGCATCAAGCACAGTGTCAGGCGGGTGATATGCACTCAATTACTAGTATTTACTCGGACTCCTCCCCCCTACTCCCTTACAAGTGATAAGAATAGCTTTGCCAGGAAGAGAAAAGGTCCTAGCAAGCACAAATACTAACCAGTACTGAGACCAACTATGAAGGACAACTATTTTATATTAGTTGCCATGAGAACTAAAGCAGTGTTTTGTGGGGGGAGGGGGTCACATACTCCTTCCAAAGTCTAATGAAAACGGGGCCTCTGCCTTATAGAAAATTTCCAGATATCTCAGGAAACGCTCTAAGTCAGAGATTTTAAGAACATGGTATTTAAGGGAAATAATAGCTAGTTTTTTTCTGGACTTAAGTCGCCAGAGTCTGAAAACGTTCCCTCAGTCACTTTTTGTGATAAAACGATTCACCTAACTTCGTTCATATTGCGGCAAGTAAACCCTGCTTTAATTAAACTTCTCAGCTTCATATGCTAAATTTCATAAGCTATCTGGTGTTGAGTGTTAAAACTTGATAAAAGGAACTACGAACTATATGAGAATTAGTTCAAAAGTCTTAATATGTGATGCCTGAACATATAACCCAAACACCTAACCAAAAGGGGGTAAAAGGTGCAAAAAGGTACCGAAGATTGCTGCGTCCAATTCTTAATAAGGCTGTTTGTCAATTCAAGGAATCAAGCCTCTTCCAGAGAAATCAAAAACACGGAAGTCGTGGTTTACAAAAACAAAACTGAGCCAGCAAGTAGTTTATTGAGTAACTAAACATGGTTTATCCTTGCTTCTACTCTGTGAGTGGCATGCCTTACTCTGACTCGGCCTCACCTTCTCGAGTAGGTAATAACCTACGGACTAAATTGTTGTGTTCATTGTACTGCAGCAGGAAAAAGTCCACGAGAGCTGCACACCCAACTCTCCCCAACGCACGACCCACACGGAGTTCGGTCCCAAACTTGTGCCCCAATGACCTTGGTCCTAGGATTCCCCTCCCTCCCTCCCGCCGCTCCTTCTTTGAGCGGCCGGCTGCGGCTCCCCAGCCGCGGTCGCAGGTGGGAGAAAGCGCTCGGGGACCCAAAAGCACGAGCGGAACCACAGCTGCAGACAGCGCCCGGGCCATGCCAGCCCTCCGCCGGCACCCGCTCCCCAGCGGCGCGCACAGCCCCGACCTAGCGCCCGCCTCCCCCAGACCCCGAGCGGAGGGCCGGGGCGCACGAAGCATTCCTTTGGCCCCACTCGGTGGCGCGGCTGGGGCGCCGCACAGTCAGGGAGCGGCCAGTCCGGCCAGGGGCGCAGAGGCAGGAGCGCAGGCGGAGGAGAGTCCTGCGCCACGCCACCGCTGCCTGCTCCAGCCCTGGGCTCCCGGGAGGCCCCGGCCGGTCACCAGTCCGGCGAGCGCCAAGGCCGAGCACGGCAGCGCCGGCAGAGACCGCGGGCGCGGGGCGCGGGGGCGCGGGCACTTACCATCAGAACTTTGGCCGCGTTCTCCAGCTGAGCGATCACTTCTGGGGGCCCCAGCGCCGCCGCCATCATGGTCTCTCTTCAATGACGCGCCATGCGCTGCATTCTGGGAGTGGGCGCCCGGCCGGCCAATCGCGAGATTCCTCGGGCTCGCGCGCTCCCGCCCGAGCCGTCGCGGCCGCCGACGTCGACGCAGGGTCGCGGGGTCACGGGTGCGGGCGGGCGAGGGCTGTGGGCGCTCCCCCGGGACGGGCCACCTCCCGGCCCGCCCGTTCGCTCGCCGCCGGCCCCGGGGGCGCCTGCGGCCTTGCTGTGTCCTCTGTGAACGCGTCCCTCCCAGGCAGGGCGGCTTGCGCCCCGCGAGAGCGCGTGCCCCCGTGCGGGGCCGGCGCGGGACCGGGCCGAGGTTGGGGCCAGCCCCCGCGAGGCCGACTTCCGGGCGGAGCCGACGGGCAGGTCTGGCAGGGGCTCAGAGCCCAGCTTCCCTACCCAAGTCTGAGAGCGCCCTGTCCGCGCTCGCGCCGGCCCTCACTGCTGGAGACCAGGCTCTGTTTTGAGCGACACCTGCGTACCTGCTACTAGCTTCCACCTCTTGGTGCCGGTCTGCTTCTTGGGGTACACAGAAAGTCAATTTCGTTTCAGTGTAAGTTTCCTCTGTTAACAACTTCCTTTATTTCCTCTTCCAATTGTAAATAAGCCATATTTGCGGAGTTTTCCCTTTTTTATGTCCCTGCAACAGAATTGCATTGTTAGCTTCTTTGAGAAACGAGTTATTATATTTGGCATCTCTACAACATGAAGTTGAGGAAGTGAATTAACAAGGTTTTTATTGCTTAAGAAACAAAGGAAGTACCTCTTATTTCGTTATAAAAGGGCAAAGTGAGTGCAGTTAATAGCTTTTTAAAAAATTGTGTGAAATTGGTTCACATAGTGCCTCACATGTAGAAGGCATTCAGTAAATATTTCACCAAGTACAAACGTCTGAACTTAATGATTTTACGACTATTCCATGGTGTGAAGCGATACATATTCATTAGAAACTAAACTTCAAATTTTGATCTCTTCCTGGGCAGCATGTGCGGTCTGATACCGACATGGTGCACAATCAGGAAGGTGAACAACTGATATCTTAGAAACATTCTGTTTTTCACTTTCAGTACCGTGTTCATTAAATTAAATGAGACAGTCAACACTATTATAAAATAGACTCGCTATGAGATGATTTTGCCCAGCTGGAGGCTAATATAAGTGTTCCAACCACCTTTAATGCAGGTGAGGCTAAGCTGTGAGGTTTGGTAGATTAGATGTATTAAATGCATTTTCAGCTTATGATGTTTTCAACTTATGATAGGTTTATTGGGACTTGACGCAATCATAAGCCATGGAAGATCTGTATAGAAATCTGCAAGATTACAGTGTCTCTACCTGCTACCAAGAGTTATCACTGCAGATCAAAGATACATCTTCAAAAGTGTAGACAAATGAGTATTTTATGACATTAAATGTTTGAGGCTTATAATGCTTCATATTGTGCCCTGTGTTCCAGAGCATTTGTTTTGTGCAGCTACACAAGAGCTTTGCATCAAGATGCTCTTTCAGAATGAAGAAGAAAAGGTATTTTATTAAATGTGAAGATGAGTATGCTTCCTTTCAAATTAGCTTAGCATTTTGAAGTTACATCTCAACATAATGGAGCCATAAATTTTAGGACAGGGTTGTAGACTCTCACTGTTGAAAGATACTAGAATTTACCTACTACTTTAGCCTTTTCTCCAGTGTCTGACTCTTGTTATTTCTTGACTTATTATTCGACAGTAGCACTCTCCTGGGGTGGTTGGTGGGGCAGAGTAGTGTCCCTGCCTACCCACATAATGTTTCACATCCTTAAGTAGAAGAAAGTTGTCAGATTCCAATTTCTCACTTGACACAAAAGAGAAATATTTATGGTCTAAGAATCTGCTCGAAATGTTCCTGGAATCAAGAACAATTCACAAATACTACATCTCCTATACTCTTAGGGTATGCCTTTAACACTTGTGATGTCATGGGCTCCAAAAGTGATTAGTTGAATATATTGTATACTTTTCCTTGGAAACAGGTTTAGTTTGGGGGATGTGGGGTGGTTTTTTGGTCTTTGTGTGTGTGTGTCAAGCCATAAACATCTTGTCAACATAAACATGCTGATTGAAATACCTTGGAGCAACAGTTCTCAGAGCGTAGGCTAGGGACACTTACTAAGTCTCGGAACATCAAGGAGATCCCTAAGATCCTATCAGAGGATCTTGGTCAAAACTATTTTCAGATGGCTTTAGTCCTATAGCCATGGATGAATGGCATCACCAGTTCAATGGACATGAACTTGGGCAACCTCCAGGAGATAGTGAGGGACAGGGTGGCCTGGCTTGTTGCAGTCCATGGGGTCACAAAGAGTCAGACTGAGTCATGACTCAGACTCAGTCATGACTGAGCAACTGAACAACAACTTAGTGACTAGTCCTATCAGTAACTACTTTGAATTGATTTAACTCCCCAATCAAGACACAGATTAGCTAAATGGATTAAAAACACAGGATCCAACTATCTGGTCCCTCTTACTACTTCTATTCAACATACTAATGGATGTCTTAGCCAAAGCAATTAGGCAAGATAAATAAAAGGCATCCAAATCAGGAAGAAGGATTATCTCTGCACAGATGACGTGATCTTATTTTTTTGTTGTTGTTAGTTTAAAATTTTATTTTTTAAAATTTTTTAAAATATTTTTATGTAATAAAAAGTAAAAGTCCTTGTCCAACCATCCTTGCGGGGCATGTCTGTTTCTCTTATGCAGGTGACTCAAGTTAATGGGGAAGAAAGAACAGGGGGCCCAAGGTTATAAATAATAGAAAATAAAAGATCTTCGTCTCCAGCGGGGAGGGGGGGATAGAGGAGAGGACGGGAGGGCAAGATGGGGTGGGGATGGGCAGGGGCAGAGCAGGAACCCCCACCCCCACCCCCGCTGGACCCTGGCCCTACCCACTTTGAGGCCCTTCCCATTCAAGGTGCTTGGCAGGAATTCCCCAGCTCCCCAGGGGAGGGGAATGGGGGTAGGGGGCTGGGACTGGTCCGAGCTGCTGGGGGAAGAGACACAGATCACTTTTCCCTCCACTCACGGAGGTCGACGTGATCTTATATACAGAAAATCCTAAAGATTCCACAAAAATCTATTAGAACTAATCAATGAATTCCGCAGTTACAAAATATAAAATGAATTTTAAAATGTCAGCTGCATTTTTATATACTAACAATGAGCCGTCAGGAAAGGAAATTAAGAAAACAGTTTCAGGGGATTCCCTGGTGGTCCCATGGTTAAGAACCCACCTTCCACTGCAGGGGACTCAGGTTCCATCCCCCCCCGCCCCAGGAAGGAAGATCCCACATGCCTCAGAGCAATTAAGCCCTTAACCTGGCAAGCCGCAACTACTAAGCCAACATGCCACAACGGAGAGCCTGGGTCCCACGTGCTGCAGCTAAGGCCCAACGCAGCCAACTAAATATTTGTTTGAAAAATTTTATCCAAGTCAAAACTACAGTGAAGCCTTACAAGGAACATAGATAAAATTATGCAACAGAGAGAGAGATTATTCTATTTTACTTGAGAGACTCAAGAACAAATCTCTTTTTTAAAAGGCATTTCTAAACCCAAATTAAATGGCCACACTTAATAATTCTCTATCAATAGAGGACACCTGATCTAGAAAGTGTTAAGGGATCTTATGACCCAAAGTTCTGAAAACTTTGAAGGCAGCAGTATAGAACCGAATGTATTATGGTATCAAATTTATAGGAGCTTAATATATTTGTCCAGAAATAAAAACATAAGACTAAAAGGGAACTATGTCTTCAAAATATCTCCTTTGTACAGAAAGTATATTTCTGTACATATGATACGTCTGTGAAATGTTATTGAGTTCTTAAATATTAAAATACTTGATTAACATAGCACAGTTCTGATGTCTATCAAAGTAACTGTAAACAGCAGTGCTTTATCCCTCCTGTTCTCACAACGTATCATCTTGAAATTTATTTCTAAACCAGTACCAAGTGCAATATTCCATCTTCCTTATAAAGTTGAATGTTATAAGGCATCCATCCCATTAAAATTTTTGAGACCGGGATGAAGACCTCTTTTCCAGAGAGGTCTCTGGAATTCCGACAACCCAGCAACCTAAAGGCATGAGTTGCATCAGATTTCCAAAGGCTTTACCCAAGCCCCCTGCTGCTGCTGGGGAGCCTCTGGGTACCCAGCCGGCCAGAGGCTCAGTCCAAGGAGTGACCACCTAAAGGGCTACTGTGCCATCCTAGTGCATGATGTCATGGTGTGGAAAGGCCACCCGAGGGTAGGCCTGGTTTCGCCTGGAAAACAGAAATTATAGATGCGTCAGGGGCAAGACAGAAGATGCCACGGAAAGGCGGCAGAGGGATGCTGTAGTTTGTCAGGGTTCAGAGCCTGGAGCTCAGGCAGAGAAGAGGCAGGGGTCCAGTCGGGACAGAGGGGAGCCTCAGCCTGGGACCAAGTTCCTCTCAAGCAGGCCTGATCAGGCTCTTCAAATGATGCCACAGGACTGACATTTCAAGATGTCCTTTGCTTATGGAAAAGAATCAGAGCCAAAGCTGCTGGCAGTGGACAAAGGACTGCCCAGCTGGGCTTCTGCTGCGAGTTCTTGGGAGTGGGGCCTGGAGGGGGCCTCCCATCCCAGGGACAGGGCTGGCTTGTCTGAGAACAGCAACTAGAACTTGGTTCCTGCCTCAGTCTCGGGCCTGAGCCCTGTGACCAGGAACTGACAGTGACACCTGCCTGGGTTCTGACAGAACAGAGGCTGGTGGAGGTGGTTCCTGATGGACACCCCAGGAGTCCATCACTAGCCCCCAGAGATGATCTGGGGGGTTGTCAGTAGAGCTCTGCTTTTTTCTGAATGCCTTAAGACAACAGGAAATTGGCAAAAGTGGGGCTTGATTTATAAATGTCCTGAAGCCGCTCCTGTCCCTGTTCGTGGTGTCTGTCCTCTGACCTGTGGGCAGCCCTGGGCCTGCACAGAGGTGTCCTGCCATCCCCACCCAGCTGTCATCTCACTTTGAGCCCTGAGGGCATCCTCCAACAAGATGCAGATGTCACAAACAATGGCATTTGGATCCTCTAATCTGAAATATTCTGGGTCATTATTGATGGCAACTTTGCCAAATGTTCCAAAATATTCTGATTCTTTTAAAGCCTCTGATAAGCTGGGCAAGAGGAAGACTCACAGCAAAGATGATGTTTGTGCAGTGCAGACACCAGGCAGTCCGAAGCCGTGGCTTCTGTCTTCTCTTGTTTTGTGTCTGTGTTTTCCTCATTCTTTATCCTCCTCCACTCTTCCTGGGAGGGTGGGCTGTTACCGCAGGGGCTTCTGGACTGCCCCTCTACCTGCCGGACCAAGCCCTGTGTTGTCACTGCAGACCTGACGCACCCAGCAGCCATGGGGGTGAGGGCCTGCCTCACAGACGCCCAGAGGAGAGCAGCCACTCCGCCCGCCCGCCCAGACGGCCCAGCCGGCTCTAAAACAAGATTTCAAGAACCAACCTGCTGCTCTGGCAAATGCACCCACCAGAAGAGCCTCCTCTGACACGTCTGGAGAGAAGGAACAGGCTATTTGGCAACTGCTGATTTGCCTGCTTTTTTGACAGCCTCGGCTAGCTTGGTCCCGCTGTCCCCAAGACCAGTTGCCCCACTACACCTGGCCTCGTCCCTGCAACTGCCGCCCTCCCCCCAGCAGCCTTCCTGCCTCCTCCTGCGACTGCATGCCTTCAGCACAGCGCAAGCCCACCGCCTCTCAAAGACTGCCCTGGGGGCCCTGTCAGCTCTCCTGACTCTTTACCCTGCATGTTTACGTAAAAGGAAGAAAGGGTCCTGGGTCCTAGTTTAAGTAAAACTGTTCTTTCTGTAGCCTTAAATAATTTTCTCTCCAAGTTCGATGAAAGTAATGACTATGGAACTTATTCACAGAATCAGCTAATTCCATCTGTTTTATAGTTTGTCCTGCAAAAAAATCTGTGATAAATTTATGTAGAGACTAGGACTTCCCTAAAGATCCTGCATGCTGCAACAAAGATCCAGCACAGGCAAATAAATAAATACTTTTTAAGAATTTCTGTAGAGACTTCTAGGGCTTTTTAAACATTCAAGCTTCCACTTTAAGGATTTAATACGTGCCACGTGGTACTCAATTATACACACTAAACACAGTGCTGCCCAATGTATTTTTGACTCAATGTGTACTGAACAAATAGTAGGTGCCCATAATGATTCAAAGTAAGCCACACTATTCTGGGATCCCTTGACAGTCCAGTTTTTAAATTGGGGGGGAGAAGGGGAGAGGAAGGAGACATACTGTAGATTTGCCTTAACAAAATAGAAATCTGCACTATATTTATCACTTCTAAGTGACAGTAGGTTCAACAGCACCTTCCTGGAATATATAGATATAAAAAGAAAGAACACATTACATGAATAAAAAGAAAGTCCTACTGTAGAGCTCAGGGAACTATATACAGTCTCCTGGGATAAACCATAATAAATATATATAATATTCTATACAGTATTTTAGTATTTATATATAGAAGGGACTTCCCTGGTGGTCCAGTGGTTAAGACCCTGCACTTCCACTGCAAGGTGAATTGGGTTCAATCCCTGATCGGGGAACTAAATTCCCACAAGCCTTGTGGTGTGGCCCAAAAAAAGAAAAACAAAATGTGTATGTGTAAGTCTCTTTGCCATACAGCAGAAATTAGCACAAAACTGTAAATCAACTAGACTTCAACTATAAAACATGAAAGAAAAACACTGCAATTTGTGGGTGGTTTAATAAGAATCCCTCCCTACTTTCCGCTCCCTAGAAAGGACCTACCAGGACATTCTGTGAGTGCCAATCTTAAAGTGCAGATCTTACTTGCAAAAGCACATCGCCAGCTCCCTCTGCTGTCTGTTGGCTGGACTTGGAACTCTGAGATTCAGAATCTGTGGTACTTTCTGGACTAAAATACTGTACAGAATTCAGGATAAGTTAAGACTGGATTAGGCAAAGGTAGGTCTATTCTGTATATATTACATATTCCAGAGTAAAGGAAAGCAAACCACCAAACAAATTTGCAGAAGGGATTCCTACATATATTTTCACTATAATAGTGTCTGTTTTTGCTTCAGCTATGACCATGTAACCTCTTGCTGTGAAGAAGTAAGACTTGCAACATTTATGTGTTTATTTAGTATAAATTACACTGTCCAGAAGAGAAACATGCAAAGCAAATTGACTTAAGACAATTCAGATGATCTCATGAAGTTACTTGTGGAAGATCAGAGCAGAGCAGCCAACACCCACCGAGAGAGAGTTCTGAAGCCTCTGGGTGTGAACTCCACTGACCCAAACAGCTAAGTACCAACAGAAAATTCCCAAACTGCTTGAGATGGCACCTGGGCCACCTCTGCCTTGAACTGAAGCTTTCATCTCCAGTTCATCAGCTCTTTAAGGTCAAAATTCTGGGGTGGTGGGGAACAGACAACTAATAAATTAGGAAGAAACCCTGAAGCTGTATTTAGGTTAATTTTATTTTCTTTTCCTGGCCTTAAAGTATTTTTCATTCCAAGTATTAAAGCCTTCTTGAAATCTCCAAGATGGAAAGTGATTATAGAAATAGTGTGGTTCACCGGGGATAACATTTACATAGTTGTAGTAAGAAGGAAAGTTATGACCAACCTAGACAGCATATTAAAAAGCAGATACATTACTTTGCCAACAAAGGTCCTTCTAGTCAAGGCTATGGTTTTTCCAGTAGTCATGTATGGATGTGAGAGCTGGACCATAAAGAAAGCTGAGCGCTGAAGAATTGATGCTTTTGAACTGTGGTGTTGGGGAAGACTCTTGGAGAGTCCCTTGGACTGCAAGGGGATCCAACCAGTCCATCCTGAAGGAACTCAGTCCTGAATATTCACTGGAAGGACTGATGTTGAAGCTGAAGCTCCAGTACTTTGGCCACCTGATGCAGAGAACTGACTGGAAAAGACTCTGATGCTGGGAAAGACTGAAGGTGGGAGGAGAAGGGGATGACAGAGGATGAGATGGTTGGATGGCATCACCGACTCAATGGACATGAGTTTGGGTAAACTCCGGGAGTTGGTGATGGACAGGGAGGCCTGGCGTGCTGCAGTCCATGGGATCACAAAGAGTCGGACACAACTGAGCGAATGAACTGAGTAACATGCTAATTATCAACTTTACCAAAAGTCTGACAGTGTCTATCAGGAAGATGGGAGTGGGAAGGACAGGCCTGGGCAGGGGGGAAGAGGGCTTAAAAGGAACTAAATTCTCATCTTCTGTAACAACAGGAAGTTAAGTACATCATGCCAAGATGAAAAACTCAAAAAAGATACTGCTTTCCAAGAATACAATCTGGATACGAGTCCTCTGTCAGATCTGTGCACAGGTTAATATTCACCCGTTTTCATAATGGTGACTTTATTATTTTGAAAAAGATCTTTACTTGCTTTGTGAAAGTTGCTCAGTCGTGTCCGACTCTTTGCAACACCAAAGACTGTATAGTCCAAGGAATTCTCTAGGCCAGAATACTGGAGTGGGTAGCCTTTCCCTCCAGGGGATCTTCCTGATCCAGGAATCAAACCAGGGTCTCCTGCATTGCAGGCAGATTCTTTACCAACTGAGGTATCAGAGAAGCCCTTATTTGCTTTACATAGCAGTAAAAATTATACATCATGTATATCTGGGCTCAGTCACTAAGTCATTCCAACTCCTTTGTGACTCCTTGGACTATAGCCCATCAGGCTCCTCCGTCCATGTAATTTTCCAGGCAAGAATACTGGAGTGGGATGCCATTTCCTACTCCAGTGGAAAGTTTTAATTTTTATGAAGCCAAATGTATTTTCTTTTACTTTTAGTGCTTTTAGTGTTCTATTTAAGAAGTCTTTTCCCTCTTCACGATGGTAAAGAAATTTTTCTGTTTTCATCTAGCTTTTTAGGTGAAACGTTTACATTAAATCTATGATCCCTGTCGAAGTATTTTTGTGTATATTGAATTAATCATTGGCTTGTGTTTTCTATTTACTGTTTTTTATATCCTCCTCTCAAATCCAATCCCAAACTGTTCTCCAAGCACCGATCTCCTCTAAGGCAGGTAAATTACCTGTTTCCAGCAAAGGTCATCTCCTACACCCTCTGACCGAGGATCTGAGCAAGCAGCCCACCCCCCACACCTGGGGCACAGCTGTCCTTTGGGACCCCCAACAGCTCCCAGGAGCCCCCTCCCTCCTCCCCTTTGTTGGATCCACTTGTTGGAGCCCGTGTCTGCCTCCAGCTTTCTGGGAAAATATATGGGAAGAAAATATTCTGAATTCTTGAATGTCTGAAATGTCTTTATTCTACCCTCATACTCAACTAATGACGTGTCTGGATTGAAAACAACTGTGCTCAGTCGCTCAGTCACGTCCAACGCTTTGTGACTCCATGGACTCTAGCCCACCAGGTTCCTCTGACTGTGGGATTTTCCACTGGAGTGGGTTGCCATTTCCTTCTTTTCACACAATTTGAAGGCCTTGTTCCGTCATCCTCTAGTGTCTAGAATTGGTGTTACCCTCAAAGTCATTCTTTTTATTTTTTGGTTCTGATTCTTGATCCTTTGTATATGAACTGTTTTATCTCTCTGAAGTTTGCAGGACTTTCCCCTTGTTCCAAACATTCTTGAATTTTCTGATGACGTACATTTATTTTTATGATTCTATTTTTACCCATTAGTTCTGGGCACTTCAGGTCCTTTCAATCTAAAAATATACCCCTGGGACTTCCCAGAGATCCATTGCTCCCAATGCAGGGGCCCTGGGTTCAATCCCTGGTCAGGGAACTAGATCCCACATACCACAACTAAGAGTTCACATGCCATGACTAAAAGATCCCACACACCGCAACTAAGACCCCAGCACATCAAAAAAAAAAAAGAGTGCATTAGTATATAATGGAATTGCCAGAAAAAATAACACAGAAGACATGAGAGAGGCTGGGGATCAGGAGATGGCAAGAGATGGACAGAGACTCTTTAAAAAAAAAAAAAAACAACGTAATTTTGGGACTTCCCAGGTGGTCCAGTGGTCAAGACTCTTGGCTTGTACTGCAGGGGGGCACAGGGAGGCAGGCTTCTCTCAGTCCTGTATCTACAAGCTACTGTGATCCTTTTGAAGACACTAGTCACCAGCTTAAGAAGGCTAGAAACTGGTGATTTTAGGAGGGTCCGTGTTTGGAACAGCAAGCAGGAAAGGAAAAGGGTGAGATGCTGCTGAGTGGAAGGCAGTGCTAGACTCTGGATGGTCAGGGGACCTGCTTCTCCACTGCCCAAGTGTGAATGACACAGGAGAAACAGATGAAGGCCAACTGCTCACACTAGTCCCCTGATTCTGCCAGATGTCAGTACCAGGATTAATGCAGAGCCAGAAGACCCTTCTCAGATCCCAGCTATCCAACATGGATCCTGGCTACATGTGGCAGTGAGTTTGAGACACAAGGCTGGTGTGACTGAGGAAGTGAGCTGTGAATCTTCATTAGTTAAAACTGAAATTGAAACCCACTTCGACACAGACTTTTCTTCTAAAACTCCTGGACACTGTATACAAAATAGAAGATCTTGAAAGGTGGGGAGGCAAGAAAGCTGGGCCCCAGGACTACATAGCACTAAGTTCTCTCGGTATTCTCTTTGCCTCCACGTTCCAGATTTGGAGCTGAAGCCAGCAACCTGGAAATGTCAACAAGCCCAACCCCCTGGCACTCCTGCCAGAGGTGAGGGGCAAATGGGCAGTAACTGCTCCACTCCAGCCAATCAAACCAGAAAACTCTGCCCCCCTATGCCAGCAGAGCTCCCCAAAGTCCCTGCTGGGGTGCTGGGCAGGATGCTGAGATCTCCAGGCCACTTGGCTGGTGATGCCTCCCCAACATGGGAGACTAAGAGGAAAGCTGGGCCCACGCAAGTGGAACCCTGTCTCCACAAGGTCAGGGTCCGAGATGGCCTGGTGGAGCGGCAACTGCCCAGTGGTGACCACGTGACTGCACCTTTCAAAAGAACAATTCAGAATCAACCAATAACAGCTTCTGGAGCTCTTAAAACCATTGACCATTCTGAAGCAAAGGTGGGGTGCTACCCTTGTACTGTCAGTGTGACTGTCTTGGGCAGGGCAATCGGCTCCCACTCACGATCTATCTGACAGCCCACTGACCCTACTCAGCAATCTAACGCCGTACACCCATCACCACCTCCGGGAAGAAAGCTGGTCGCAGAACCGCACCTGGACTTGGACCCTGTGCTGTGACCTGAAACCCAGTCTCCAAACCCCAGACCTTTCCCAAGACAAGAGCTCCTCTCCCTCGCAATGGGAGCCCCCGCTGTGTTTGAATCATGGGGAAAGCACACGAGACAAACAAGAACTTACAAATTTCAATAAAATTTGACACCTAGGGATTTGGATTCAAACTTTTAATAATAAATTGTGCCAGTAGAAGCTTTTCAAAGGCAATGATATATCAATAAATAATAGTTAAATTGAGTTCCTGAGAAAGAACCTACCACATGAAGGCTGTCAAAGTGTAAATAACAACATGGCGTTACTGCAAAACTAGAGAAACATTGATAGTCACGACACAGCACAGCAGACTCAGAACCTGCCACTCATACACATGTAAACCAGTACACAGGAATCTTCTTCTTCAGTTTAGACATCCATAGACATGTGAGTGTTGCTGCCTAGAGATACACTAAGTAATGGATACATTATGCTAAAAACCTCAAGGAAAAATATGTGAATATAACAAAAAATATGATGCATCAGGTTTTTAAAAAGCAAAAAAGAAATTTAACTTTTTATTCAAATATAAATCACTTTAAATAGGAATCATACTAATTTGAAATAGGAATATTTTGTGTGTTTATCTATATAGTTATATATACATCTATACTCCTAAGAAAATATGTATGGCTTAATTATCTTTTTTTCCCCCTCCAATATCACTTTGAATAGTCCTTGCTGTTTCACAAAGATTAGAAAAATGTGCTTTTAAAACCGAGTTAAGTTGGATCCTTCAAAGCACACTAAAAGCACTGCAGAGAGAACCCTCCACAGGTCTGCACGGTGGCGCTCTGGCTCCCTGTGTCGGGTGGGCCACAGGACAGCATCCTGACTGGCGAAGACAGACAGAGGTCCATGGCTAACTTACTTTTTTTGGCAGAGCTAAGTGAATCCCTTTTGATGTACACAAGTTTAGTGTAGGACAAATGTCTTTGCCCCCTCAAAGAATCCAATCACACCCATGACACATTCAGTCACATCTCTCAGGTACACGTGCATTTCTGCAATGAGAGAGGAGGGGGTGCAGTCACAGTGAGGAAGTCACTCACGATGCGGCATCAGCACACTGTCCAGAACGACTCATCCAAGGACACTCAGTAAAAACGTATTCACAGAACCTGCTGTGAATGGCAAGACACGGTCACGTTATATTAATAATAGAAAAACCCTGTTCATGCTCTCTCCATACCTGATGTCTGAAGTCACACCCGCATGATCAACTGCTCACACTTCCTATTATGCTATAATATGCAAAAAGAGAACAGAACAAAAGCAGCTTTTAACATATATCACAATTTTGAAATGTGGGAAAAATATAAAACAAAAACTGTTGTGTGAATAAAATGGTATCAGCAACATCAGGACATCAGGACAGTGTTATCTTTTTTTTTTAAACATTATTGCACAGAGATTTCTTATCACATGTTCTTCAATCTTTATGTCTTTCCCTAATGTGAGTAAGTGCTGTGGATAAAATACAAACGTAGAAAATAACAGCAGCATGATTTGTCAAAATTAATCCCTATAATTTAATAAGAAAAATGGCTATAAACAAAATAAGTGCTCTTTCTACTGTACTGATTTAAAAAATATTGTTTTAATGTCGTGAAGGTCCTCAAAGCTAATTCCAGGCTGCGCTGACACCTCCTGCCTCCACCAGAACCTGGAGATGCAGATCTCAGAGGTGAGTCCTCTTTCAGAAGCTTTTCTGCTTTGGTTTTGGGGGGCAACCAGCCAACTGACCTGACGGGCTGACCTCCCCGTCCACCAGTCTACACGTACACGGGCTGGCAGCCCCCGGCCTGCGCCCCCAGGGCCGGACCCACCGAAGTCGGCTGCTCAGCCTCGGTCACGGCTTCAGCCACTGCAGGCTTGGGGCAACGGAATGGGTGGCCGTTGTCATCGAAGAACCTCCGGAAGGTGAACTCATAAAAGGCATGCTCAGGGTGCCGGCTGCCCGCAGGGCCCAGCGCATCCCAGGCTTTGGAGCTGTCCTCACTGCCATCCTGCCAGGGGCCCTCCTCATCCACTGGGTCAAAGTTGGATGTGTCCATGGGGTGGCTGATGGTGGGCACGTAGGGGGCCGGCTGCCTCCGGATGTCACTGGAGAAGTCAATGGCGCCCAGGAACGGGTGGGCCTTCAGATCATCAGCCCCATTGCGGCCTAACCGGTGCTCAGCTGCACAGCACAGCTTGGCAATGAGGTCCCGGGCCTCGGGGCTCAGCTCCACCTGCGCAGGGATGTGCAGCGTGCTCTCCCAGTTAATCACCTGCGGGGACAACACACCCAGTGTTCCCTCCTTCTCACTCTCGAGGCCAAAGAGGGCCGTTATAGGACAGAGTGTTAAAGAATATGATTGTTTCTCAACATCACTAATCATCAGGGGAATGCAAATCAAAACCAAAATGAGCTATCACCTCACACAAGTCAGAATGACCATCATCAAAAAGCTGACAAATAATAAAGGCTGAAGAGGGTGTATGGAGAAAAGGGAACCCTCCTACACTGTTGGTGGGGATGTAAACTGGTGCACCACTCTGGAGAACAGTATAGAGGTGTCTTACAAAACTAAAATTAGACTTAGCATATGACCCAGCAATCCCACTCCTGGGCATAAATCCAGACAAAACTCTAATTCAAAAAGAAACACGTACCCCTGTGTTCATAGCAGCTCTATTTACAATAGCCAAGAAGGAAACTAAATATCCATCAACAGATGAACTGATAAAAAATGTGGTCTATATATACAATGGAATTCTACTCAGCTATAGAAAAGAACAAAATAATGCCATTTGCAGCAACATGGATGAACTTAGAGATTGTCATACAAAGAGAAGACAGACAAATACCATATGATATAGCTTATAGTGGAATCTAAAATACAAAATGAACTTAATTACAAAACAAATAGACTTACACTTGTGTAATTAAGTTCATTTTGTATTTTAGATTCTATACATAAAACAGATAACAACGGCTGACTGGATAGCACAGAGAATTATATTCAGTATCACACAATAACCTATAATGGAAAAGAATCTGAAAATATAATCTGAATCACTTTGCTCTACACCTGAAACTAATACTGTAAATCAATTATACTTAAATAAAAATAATTTTAAAAAGATTTTGATAGTTTCACAATAGGAGAACCAAACAGACATAGGAGGATCTGATGCAGCTACAAATGGCCAATGTGGTTTCAGCAGGAGCCCACAGTCTGAGGCACAGGGTAAGGAAGCCGCCCCCAGACAGCAGTGAGCAAGAACACAAACCAGCCATCCAGATGCTCTACTAAGGGCTTATTTACTTCTGGAATCAGAACAAAGTAAGGTCAATGTAACTGAGAGTTGTGCGGAGGTGCAAGGGCTGGTGTGGGCTTCCTCAGTGGCCTAGCAATAAAGAATCTGTCTGTAATGCAGGAGACACAGGTCTGATCCCTGGGCTGGGAAGATCCCCTAGAGGAAGACATGTCAACCCACTCCAGTATTCTTGCCTGGGAAATCCCATGGACAGAGGAGCCTGGTGGGCTACAGTCCATGGGGTTGCAAAGAGTTGGACACAACAGTGCACATGCACAACACAGATATAAAACTCAAAAGAAAAAAAACATAAGGCAAAAATCTTCATGAGGGACATCCCTAGTGGTCCAGTGGCTAAGACTGTGCTCCCAATGGAGGGGGTCCAGGTCCAATCCCTGGTCAGGGAACTAGATCCCACATGCTGTAACTGAGACCCAATGCAGTAAATAAAATAAATAAAATATATATACTAAAAAAAAATCTTCATGACATTCAATTTGGCAATGATTTCCTGGATATGATACCTAAAAGCACAGGCAATAAAGAAAAAAACACATAGAAGTCTTCATCAAAATTTAAAACTTTTGTACACTGAAGGACCCTATCAACAGAGTGAAAAGACAAACTTATGGAAAGGGAGAATGTATTTGCAAAGTATACATCTGATAAGGAATTAATAAGCAGAATACATAAAAAACTAAAAATCAATAACAAAAACCCAAACAACCTAATTAAAAAAGGGCAAAGGATTTGAATAAACATTTCTCCAAAGAAGGTATCTACACATGCCCACATATGAAAAGAAATTCAACATCTGAACATCAGGGAAATACAAATCAAAATCACAATGAGACTGATAGCACCTCACACCCACTAGGATAGCTACTATTAAAAAATAATAATAAATGTTGGCTAGGATATGCAGAAATAGGAGCTTCAGTATACTGTTAGTGGGAATGTAAAATGGTGCAGTCATATGAAAACAGTATGGAGGTTCCTCAAGAAGTTTCAACACAGAATGATCCTATGACCCAGCAATTTCACTCCTGGGTCTATATCCAAAGGAACTGAAAGCAGGGAGCAAACAGATATATACATACTTATGTGCATAGCAGCACTACTCACAAGAGCCCAAAAGGTACAAACAACCAAAACATTCATTGCCAGATGATGGATAAAGAAATTTACATACAGTGAGTATTTATTATTCAATATTACATACAATGTAGCAGTATTTAGCCTTAGAAAGGAAGGACATTCTGACACAGGTTCCAACAGGGATGAACCTTGAGGATGTTATGCTGATGAAGTCAGTCAGTCACAAAAGGAAAAATACTGTATGATTCCACTTATATGAAGTTCCTAAGAATAGGCAATTCATAGAGACAGAAAGTAGAAGAGTGGTTACAGGAGCAAACAGGAGGGAAGAATGGAGTTATGTAGTGGGTGAAGTTCTGCTTGGGATGGTGAAAATGGCTGGAAATAAGTAGTAGTGAATATACTTAATGCCACTGATTATACTATTAAGTGTAGTTAAAATGGTAAAATTCATCACAATTTTTAAAACTGGGTGATTATCCTGCCGGCAAATTACTAACTAGAAAAAATTATTAACTAGTTCAGCAATTCAATTAGGATATAGATAATACCAAGTTCCAATTTCATTTTTACTGGAAAGAAACAGGGCCTTAATTGAGGATTTTTTTAATTAAGAGGCCATCACAGTAACTATTACTAACATTCCCGGGTCAACCTCGGACTCGGGTGTGTGAATACGTCCTAAGATAGTGTTACAAGAGCACTGTTACGAGACGTTCCAAAAGTTTCATCAGATTCTCTAATCAATCTTTCTTAAGGAATCAAATTAATTGCTTCAGAGAGTAAAAGGCCACCATTCTAAAACTGACTATTATTACTTGACAGGATAATCTTTCAATTAGTTGAAACACTGGAAATGTGCGTAATAAGTGTCTGAGCCCACAGCTCTTATATTATGCCTACAGTACAGACATAACGTCCAAACCAACCAACTCATCTCAAGGCCACACGGTTCAGACCGGGCTCTGCCTGCCGGCCCAAACGTGCGGTCACGGTGCCTCCCCCGCATCCATGTCACACGCACGTCACAGCTCAACTCTGACCTTGGGCCTTTACTCACTCAAATTAAAAAACCTAATAGGAAGTAACAAAAATACCTGAAAACTCCTCACTTCATACAGCTGACACTCCTGCACTACCCGGAACAAAAGGCCCAGTGTCAGCCGGAGACCCCAGGGCTTCTCAGAGGCCCGCGCCCTATTACCTTCAGCTGAGTCTCCGTGGGCGTCGGCGCCAGGAACGGCGGCTGCCCCACCAGCATCTCGAAGAGAATCACGCCGACACTCCACCAGTCGCAGAGCTGGGTGTAACCTGAAAGACATCAGGGCTCAGCTCGCACCCGCGCGGCGGCCTCGGACGCGCTGAGAGCGTGGCTCTGGTCAGCGAGGAAGCCCCCGACGGCGCAGACGGGAAAGAGCTGCCGCGAGTCACGGGGCTCGCGCATCACGCTCCATCTCCCGCCTCCGCGGCGCACACGTGACGTTACTGCTTCCTGCACAGGGGCCCGGAACAGACCGCTGGAAAAAGGCTGCCGAAGGTCACAGCCTCCACGTGGCAGGAGTGTGGGCACGAGTGTTTTCTGATTTTACAGCAGTAGTCTATGATAAACACAGAATGCTCTTATAATAACAGATCTTTTAAATTTACAAAGTTACTGTTATTGTTAATACTAAACCAGGAATTTAAGTTCTCAAAGGACACAGACACAAATTAAAATCGTAGAAACTAAGGACTTCCCCGGCGGTCTGATGGTTAGGGCTGTGCACCTGGCACAGGCTGGACCCCTAGTCAGAGAGCTTAGATTACAGACTGTGATGCGGCCACAAAAAAAAAAAATGTAGAAACTAAAAAGCAGAAACGCTATGACCAGAGGTCGGTCACGAAAGGCCAGTGCCGAGGCTCGCTGGGGAGCTTTTGGGAGAAGAGGGGAGGAAACTGTGGCAAAGGTAATGGCTGCCCCTGCCGTGCCCCTTGGGGCACGGAGGGAGCCAAGCTCCTCATCCCCTGCAGGGCCCCCACAGCCGGGGCTCCGGAAGGACAGCCTCGTAGGGGTGTCAGAGAAGGCTGATCTTTGATTCTGTCCCAAGTCCCAGTCCGAGCCCCACTCTGGTCCCACTGTCACCGAATTCTTGCTAAGTGTGACCTGTGGCCCCTATCTGCCTGGCCCTGGAGGCTCTGCTGGGCTACTGCCCATGGCAGGGTTGGGGGATACCAGTGAACCCCCTTGCAGACCAGCACCCACCCCCACTTTGAAAGGACAGAGTAGGCGTCCTGTACTGGGCAGTGAGGTCAACAAGCCAAACAACCTCTGGAGGTACTGCCCTTATACCTGAGTCCCTAAGAGACTGGCAACCTGCCATGAGGCACACAGGTCACAGAAAACACGATGAGGACAGAGCCTGCTGGCTCCAACAGTGGAAACCACCGGTGAGGACAGACAGTCTGGCGCTGTTCAGGTTTCTTACAGGGAATCAGATCCACACATACTGCCACTGGGGACCCCTACAACTGACCATCAGAAGTGCCTCTCATGTTGGTCAAGCGCCTGCTGGATGGGTTGGAGCACCCCATCCCTGAGGCTTACCTCGAAGGGATCTCTGGACCAGTGGGGAGAACTAGAGACACAGAGAAGGCCTGCATCCTCACACCCACTGACCAGGGAAGATGGTGGGCCCCAGTGAGGACCCTGAACCCAGTCCTGACCCTCAAACAACTCCTCTGGGCTCTAGGGAGCAAGCCCACCATGCAGCCAGCTCATCAGTTTCAGCCTAAGGAGGAGCAAGTAGAGACGCCAGGCCAGCTCCCGAGCAGAGAGGGATACACTGGAGATTTGTCTGCTGACAGAACCCCACTCTCGGGCTCCCGTGGGGAGACACATGGGGACACTGAGACTCTGACAGTGGGAGCTGGGACCCTCGGAGATCACCCAGCTTGGGTGCACAGCCAAAGCACATACCTTTCCGGAGGAGCACTTCCGGGGCAATGTAGTTTGGGGTCCCAACCAGGGAGTGAGCCAGACATCGCTGGTGCTGCCTCCGCGCCCTCTGCTCCAGGGTCTTGAGCCGGTCTCCACACCGGCAGTTAGACACGTCGTCCCAGAGGTCGCTAGGCTCCATGCTGTCCTGCCGGGAGTGACTCCCTGTCACCCAGGAAGAGGGGCGGGGAGAGAAGAGAACAGAAAACAAAGTCAATTTTCAGTCTTCAACAATGCAATAAACCCAGAGTTTCAAAAGGAAAAGTAACCTGACCCAGCTCCTCGCACAGTGAGAGAGAGTCCCCTGGCAGCTCCCAGAATGGCTGTGGTCCCGGGCCTCAGACCCAAGCATGAAGTACACACACACCTCAGGACAGGAGCCACGGCAGGGGCTGTGCCCTGTGCTGGGGGCTGTGCTGCTGCTGCTGCTAAGTCGCTTCAGTCGTGTCCGACTCTGTGTGACCCCACAGACGGCAGCCCACCAGGCTTCGCTGTCCCTGGGATTCTCCAGGCAAGAACACTGGAGTGGGTTGCCATTTCCTTCTCCAATGCATGAAAGTGAAAAGTGAAAGTGAAGTCACTCAGTCGTGTCCAACTCTTAGCGACCCCATGGAATACAGCCTACCAGGCTCCTCCATCCATGGGATTTTCCAGGCAAGAGTACTGGAGCAAAGGCTAACACCATCTGTTTGTCAGACATGTTTTGAGACAGGCATGGAAAAGATTAAGGATTTCAAAAATATGGACACAAATGATTTCAATGCCAAAAAAAAAAAGAATGAATCAAATGATTTATAACTAGTTTTGAGTTAAAAAACAGAAGTCTGAGCTACAGTAATAAATTAACTAGTTCAAAGAATTCAAGCCAGGGCTTCCCTGGTGGTTCAGTGGTTAAGAATCTGCCTGCCAATGCAGGGGACACAGGCTTGAACCCTGGCCGGGAAAATCCCACATGCTTCGGAGCAACTGAGCCTGTGCTCTAAAGACCATGCTCTATGAGAGAGGCTAACGCAAGGAGAAGCCCATGCACTGCAAGGAAGGGTCCCCCTACTCCTGGCAACTAGAGAAAAACCCTCATAGCAACAAAGACCCAGAACAGTCAAAAATAAATAAATAAATTTAAAAGGAAAAAAAAAGAATTCAAGCAAATAAATAAATAAATTTAAAAAGAAAAAAAAAGAATTCAAGCTACAAATATGATGACCAGCTATTTCCGGCCCCAAGATACTCTATGGCCTACTATCCTTGAAACATTTTAGTAAAACTTGAAGCCACTAACTTAAAAACAAACACCTCACACATCATAGTACTTCTTCATGGAGAAAAGGGTATCACACCAAATTATGAAATCACACAGGTTCAGGTGCACCACCCAGGATGAGGTGAGGAGGAGAGGCCGGAGGCAGTACCTTTCTGGTAGTATTTGGAGTTGTGGGTCCACCTGAATCCAGTGCAGAGGCCGAAGTCTGTCAGCTTGATGTGGCCATCAAGGTCTATGAGGATGTTGTCAGGCTTGATGTCCCGGTGGATGAAGCCCATCCTGTGAACGCTCTCAACGGCCAGCGTCAGCTCAGCAATGTAGAAGCGTGCCAGGTGCTCAGGAAACACCTCCATGCGGATGAGCAGGCTCATCATATCCCCGCCTGGGATGTAGTCCATCACAAAGTACAGGCTGTCCTTGTCCTGGAAGGAGTAGTAGAGCTTGACCACCCATTCATTGTCCGCCTCCGCCAGGATGTCCCGCTCTGCCTTGACATGGGCCACCTGGTTGCGGTTCAGGACGTCCTTCTTTCTCAGGGTCTTCATGGCATACAGCGCGTGCGTGTCCACCTTGCAGGCCAGGCACACCTCCCCAAAGGCGCCAATGCCCAGGGTCTTCACCTTCACAAACATGGACTTGTCCATCTTGGCCCGCTTGAGCCTATTGTAATTAGACTCCTTCTGGTAGAGAATCTTCCTCATCTGCTCCTGCTCCGCCTCACACAGCCCGGCCTGTGAAGGAGGACAGAACAGGGTCACACTGGATGGGCCCCATGGGGACGTGAGGCCCCAGAGTGGAGGGCACACCATGATCTGTGGAAAGGAGGGTGCAGAAGAACCCAGCCAATGCTACAAGTGAGAAAATGACTGTTGGTTCTCTACATCCACAGTCACAGATCTAGAATCAAAAGGGAAGATGTAAAAATAAGTTGTTCTTTCTCCAGGTTGACTTTTAGGCTCTAAAAACTAAAGACAACTTGTATTACTAAAAATTTGTGGGAAAGGGGACCATAAAATTCCTGGAACTCTTAAGGGCAATGTAATAATTTAATGACAGTTCAGGGGAAAATGGGAAAACAAGAAGAGTCAGATGAAAATGGAACAGCATTTTCACTGGGATCCGATCTTATTTTTAGAACTTTTTAGAATCTGAAATTACCATAGCATTTTAATGTAAACAACTTCATTAATAATTAACATTCCCTAACAGCTTAGTGTCAACTAGCATATACTTCAAACATTATTTTAATAACTATAGACTTCATTAAGAATGAACTGAATCACTACTAGCTATACTTCTTTTTAAAATTCCCACAATGTCAATGTGTAAAACCTCGTTTCCTTTCTCCTCTTTCAAAGTGTTTCTTTACCAGTTGGAGAGCCTTGATGGATTTGCTCCCTGGAAAGGACACGCCGTAACAAGCAACGCGTTCGTTCACCGGGGGCACATCCACACAGCCCTCCCCACCCCGAACTGGGACAGAGGACACGGTGCAGGGGGCTTCTCCCACTGGGACCCCGACACCAGGCATGCCCTGCGCCCACCTTCGCCATCTCCTGCTCCAGCTGCAGCCGGCGGGCCACCTTCTGCTGGTGGGTCTTGAGCACGTTCTCCACATGCTGCTCCATGAAGAACTTGAAGGCCGACGGCGAGTAGCTCTTGATGCGCGACTCGCGCCTGTCCTCGTCGCGGCCGCCCCTGCGCACGGGCACCGGGGATGTCTGGATCTGCTTCCGGTCTCTGCCCGCCCTATCGGCCTTGGTGGCCCCGGGGCTCGCGGGGCTGCCATCGGGGGGCTCAGCGGCGCGGCCGCCCCGGAGGCCCTGCTGCAACCCGGCGCACAGCCCGTCCATGTCGAGTGGCTCGGCGCGGGCCTGCGGCCGCAGCAGGTGCCGCGGATAGGGCGGGGGCCGGCCCCGCGCCTCGGCGCCCCCTGCTAGCTCGTCCGCAGGCTCCGGGCCGTCGGGCGGGGGCGCCGGCGCCCAAGCGGGGTGCGAGGGCCCCACGGCCGTCTGGGGCTCAGGCCGCAGCACGCGCACGCTACGCACCGGGTGCAGGATACGCGCGGCCGTCACCGCCGTCACGGCGTTGGGCGGGGCCGTGGCGCCGCTGAACGAGCCAGTGCGGCTGGGGCCTGGCTTGGGCATCGAGTCCCGCCGGGCCAGGCCGGTGCCCGGCCAGGGCGGCGTGCCCGGCTCGAAGCGCTCGGCGCCCAGGCCAGTGCGCGCGGGGGCGGCCAGGCCAGGCGGGGCGCTGTCGCCGGCGAACGCGGCACCTCGGGCCCCCCCCGCGTGTCCCTGGTGCGGCGGCTTGGGGTGCGGGGCCGGAGCGTAAGCGGCGCCGGGGGCCGGGAAGGGAAGGCCGGCGGGTGGCACCGGCACGGCCGCACCCTTGGCGGCCAGCCCCGCATACGCGCCGGCCTCCGGGGCCGCCTTGCTTTGGAAGGAGGGGCTGCGCTGGACGCCATAGCCCAGGGGCTCCGCGGGCACCAGCAGCGGGGCTCTGTAGTGCGCGCCCCCGGGGCCCGCGAGGCCCATGCGGGCAGCCTCCCCGGTGGCCGTGTAGCCCTTGGGCGGGTGCGGACGACAAGGAAGCCCGATGCCAGCAAAGAGGAAGTCCGGGTACGGGCGGGGTGCTTCCTCCAGGGCGGCGGGGCCCTCGAAGGCCAGCCCGGCCACCTGCGCGAAGGGCGGGAAAGGCTCGCCCGCTGCTGCTTCGAAGCTCGGCCTCCGCGGCCCGGGGGCCGGCGCCAGGCCCTTCCCTAGGGGCAGAGACGGAGGCGGCGTTAGAAGGCCGCGGGCAGAAGGCCCAGCGTCGCTGGTCGGGTAACCCCCGCCCCCGCCTCCTTCCCCACCAGCAGAAGGAGACCCGGGGAAGCCCCGCAGGCGAAGATGAAGCACCAGCCAGGGCTGCCCCCAGGGCCTGGGAGGGACGATGAGCTGCCACACAGACCCCGAGATCCCAAAGGTCTGGACACCGTGGCAGCAAGGCACTGCTTAAGGGCGTTCCTCAGTCAAGAGAAGAGAAACGGTCAAAAGTCCGTGTTCTCACCACTTTCACTCAGTCAGTGCCTGAGACAAGCGGTTAAATTCACCCACAGTGAAAATACATTTTTCTATTCTTTTAATTCTGTCGATTTCTACTTTATATATTTTGAGGATATGTAGTAGATAAATACACTTTTGAAATGTTATGCCCTCAAAAAGAAAAGGGAAACCTGTGTTCTCCTCTCAAGGAAGGTACAATGTATTTAACTACAAAGCCCTTGCAAGTTCCTCACTCAGCAGATGAACTGGGTTTATCCAGGGTCTCTAGGGAAAACTCCTGGTCAATATCCTGAATCCCTTATTACCCCCTAGGGGCCTCAGGTCCCCAAAATGTCTCCACCTGCTCTACTGAGGAAGAGAACACCCACTGACTAGCAGGCAAGGGTGCTGAAGCGACTGGCCCTCCCCAAGGGCATGGCGTGGGGGGGGGTCCCTCCCTCCCCCGGGGTACGGGCGGGGCTGGGGGCGGGGCTTTCCCACACCTCTTCCTGAGGCCCTGGACTCTGGAGCCACCTGCCACCGTGCAGCCTGATCTCTGAGCCCACAGGGTGGGACAAGTGTGTTTTAGAAATCCATGAAATAAGCCTCCCCTTAAGAATCCCTCACAAATCCAGAAAGATCCTGCTGAGTGGCCTAATTTTCATTTTGAATTTTCCTTTTCATGAACAGAACAACTCCACAAACCCCCAGTAAGGAAGGACCCAGCTAAGTGTCAATCTGCCCCCACCCTAGGGGACAGGATGTTGGGCAGGGCAGGTTCAGTCCCCGTGCCCCCACTCCTGCGAGGGAGGTGGGCAGCACGATGGCCACAAGGCCCTCTCCCCAAAGCCGCCTCTCCATAGCCCCCAGCGCGCTCACCTGGAGAGGTCTGCTTGACGACCCGCACGATCTGCTCCTTGCCTGGCTCCAGGTAGCCCATCTTACTGATGAACTCCAGGGCGGCCTCGATGCTGCGGCTGCCCGTCTGCTTGAGGGCCCTGCCCGCCATCTCCTAGAGAGGGGAGCAGAGAGACATTAGCTGGGGGCCTGGGCGTGGGTCACATGAAGCTTCCAGGGACAGTCTTTCTGTCCTGCACCCTCCTCCGAGCCAGTGGAGCAAGAACTGCTGGGGACTTGTCTTGGGGCTGATGAACCTCACACACACTCAGTTCAGTCTCTCAGTCGTGTCCGACTCTTTGTGAGCCCATGGGCTGCAGCATGCCAGGCTTCCCTGTCCTTCACCAACTCCTGAAACTTGTTCAAACTCATGTCCATCGAGTCAGGGATGCCATCCAACCATTTCATCCTCTGTCATCCCCTTCTCCTCCTGCCTTCAATCTTTCCCAGCATCAGGGTGTTTTCCAGTGAGTCAGTTCTTCGAATCAGGTGGCCAAAGTATTGGAGTTTCAGCTTCAGCATCAGTCCTTCCAATGAATATTCAGGACTGATTTCCTTTAGGATGAACTGGTTGGATCCCCTTGCAGTCCAGGGGACTCTCAAGAGTCTTCTCCAACACCACAGTTCAAAAGCATCAGTTCTTCAGTGCTCAGCTTTCTTTATAGTCCAACTCTCACATCCATACATGACTACTGGAAAAACCATAGCCTTGACCAGAGAGACCTTTGCTGGCAAAGTAATGTCTCTGCTTTTTAATATGCTGTCTAGGTTGGTCACAGCTTTTCTTCCAAACAGTAAGCATCTTTCAATTTCATGCCTGCAGTCACCATCTGCAGTGATTTTGGAGCCCCTCAAAAATTAAGTCTGTCAGTGTTTCCATTGTTTCCCATCTATTTGCCATGAAGTGATGGGACCGGATGCCATGATCTTAGTTTTCTGCATGTTGAGTTTTAAGCCATCTTTTTACTCTCCTCTTTCACTTTCATCAAGAGGCTCTTTAGTTCTTCTTTGCTTTCTGCCATAAGGGTGGCATCATCTGTGTATCTGAGGTTATTGATATTTCTCCCTGCAATCTTGATTCCAGCTTGTGCTTCATCCAGCCTGGCATTTCGCATGATGTACTACTCTGCATGTAAGTTAAATAAGCAGGGTGACAATACACGGCCTTGATGTACTCCTTTCCCAATTTGGAACCAGTCCATTGTTCCATGTCCAGTTCTAACTGTTGCTTCTTGACCTGCATACAGATTTCTCAGGAATCTCAGATTTCTCTGGTATTCCCATCTCTTGAAGAATTTTCTACAGTTTGCTGTGATCCACACAGTCAAAGGCTTTGGCATAGTCAATAAAGAAGTAAATGTTTTTCTGGAACTCTCTTGCTTTTTCGATGATCCAAAGGATTTTGGCAATTTGATCTCTGGTTCTTCTGCCTCACACACACTGACCCCACCCAGATCTTGATGGTGGACCTCGAAGACTTTGTATTCTGCTCCTCCTGAGAAAACTTCTGTGACTGGACTGAGACATTCCTGCCTGGTCTGTGGAAGTCAGAGAACCAGCCTTCCCCCACACCAGGGAGGAAGCCAGGGGAAGGGATACAGTGGGTGAGAGAACATGGGCCCCTGGGACAGGCCCGGCAGGACAGCTCCCTGCCTCCCAGAACAGTCCCGGAAGGACAGGTGCCCCCCGCCCCCGACCCCCCAGCACTGCTAGCAGGATGAGTTTCTGGGGAAGAGAGCCAGAGGAGAGAGAGGAACCAGGGACTGTCCTCAGGCTAGATGAGGGCACACAGCTGGCTCTTTAAGGACAGCAGGATGTGGGCAGATGGTGGAGAAAAGGTATTCTTGGCTGGTAGTCAGAGCAGGGTGGGGGGAACCATAGACCAGTCAACTGCCCTGAACCTTCTATTCTCTTCACATGTCCCTGTATCCAGAAATGAGCATAACAATACCTGCAGTCTCATGTGCACAGGCTCAGCTCTGCCCCTAGAATGTTGGTGGCCTGCAGTCTGCTCCAGGGAGCAAGATCAGGCCAGTGCCAGCCGCCAGACTCAGCTGCAGTTACAACATGTGAGCAAACAGCCTGGATGCTCAACCCCAGCAACATAGCTGGGCAGCCCAGAGGATCATAGTAAGTAATAAACTATGGTTGTTCTTCAGCTGCTAAAACTTCTGGGATGGTTTGTACAACAGTATATAATGGGTAACTACTTTTACTGCAGGTATAATCTGAAAAATATGTCCACCTATTAATTTTACCTCAACTCTAAATGGTTGGGTTTGCTAAATAAACTCAATTTGTTAAGATCAGTTTTATAGAAAGTTAAATTTAACTTTAATATTTAATATATTTAATATTTATATTAAATATATTTTATATTATATATTTAATATATATTAATATATTTATATATTAAAATTATATTATATTTAATTTAATTTAATATATTAATATAATATATTTAATATAATCACAGAGATTTAACAAAACACCAATAAATAATATTTCACCAGAAAATGAGAACATTATCGCAATATTAATTACTGGTGTGAGGAGTGAAGCTTAAGAACCTTAAAAATGTATTTTTATTCCAGTATATCCCATAGATTATTCCAGTTGTCCTGTTAGGAGGCTGATAATAAAGCACGAATTTTGCTTCTATTTGTCATAATCTGGCTGCACAGTCAGCAGGAAGTACTGCTTTCTACATCATCTTGCAACTTTACAGTCCCTCAAATAAGAATTTTGGTTGGATTCATATTTAACTACAAAACTATTCTTATATCTCCATGATTTGTTCTTAAGGAAGCACTACATTCTTGTATACGGTTGTTATGGTAACTTAGGTCCAACCTCTTTTGAAGAAAAACACATCTATTTTTTTCAGTAATGAATTCATGTGGAATTTGAATTCATTCTTGTTGGGAACTCTTGGTTTTCATGACGCAGATTCAGTCTGTCTCAGCTCAACAGTGCCAGAGGAAGAACTGGGAGGCGATGGGCCAGTGTGGGAGTAGCAGGACCCCAGGCCCAGGGCGCAAGTGGGCGGCAGGGGATGGGGAGACAGGCCCTGTGGGGGGACCGCCTAAACGGCGGGGACAAGTCTGCACCGGGAAGACAGGGGCAGCCGGCAGAACAGATGAACCACTGCAGGTTTCATCACTGGTGACGAGCCGGCGTCAGCTCCTGGGAATCAGCGAGCTGAGTGTGGGGGAACTCTCCTGGGCAGACAACTACTACCGTCCAGTCCTACCATTCGGACGTCTCCCTGCAAAGAGCACACAGGCCTCCTCACCAAACATCCTTGTCACAGACCTTCGAGCTCCAGTCCACACTTTTTAAATGAACAGCTGCTGTGTCTCGTGTGTGTCCACAGTAGCCCCTGTGCAGCCATGGTCCCACTGCGCAGGGGACAGTCAGCTCATGGGCAACCAGGGGCAGGGATGTCAGGATGCAGATGTCATACAGATGCTTCCTTCCCTCCATCAAGATGGGCTTCCAGAGACTGTGCATGTGTGGGGGCTCCCGCTGCATGTCAGCACATGTGTCCTTTTCTCGATCTACAGATACACGTGACACATGTGCTCTGCTGTGTGTGACCTGGCTGCACAGATGTTCCTTGTTGCAGGGAAGCTGTGATCTCCGGCTGGTCCTGTGCCCACAGGTGGCGGGCTGAACCCTGGACAGTAACTGGTCATCCACGGCAGAGCATGGATATTTTCTCTGAGAAAAAAACCAAGTGACCCCATGTGGGCCAGTCTATACACCAGGAGGCTCAGCCCTAGGCCAAGAATTTCAAAATGTGGGCCACTGCAGAATTAACAGAGTTCCAAAGAAGACAGAACATTCTATTTATTAACACCTGCCAAAGCTCCATGAGAAAATGTTCCAGTCAAACTTTCTACTAGCACTGCTCCCACTTTAAGATGCCCTTAGAAAGTGTCATTAACACCCCTGTTGGAGAGTCTGCATGGAGAGGCTGTTGGCAAGTTTGTAAAGAACTTGGCAGGATGCCAGTGGAGTGAAGGCATGCAGAGGGTCTGTACCTAAGCCCTGTCCTGCCTGCCAGTCACTGTGAGAAATGAGCACCGCCGGCCAAGTGTCAAAGATGGAATGGGCGAGACTAAGATGGATGACTGCAGCCATGAAATTAAAAGATGCTTGCTCCCTGGAAGGAAAGCTATAACAAACCTAGACAGTGTATTAAAAAGCAGAGACATCACTTTGCCAACAAACGTCCATATAAGTCCAAGTTATCTATGGTTTTTCCAGTAATTATGTACATATGTGAGAGTTGGACCATAAAGAAGGCCGAGTGGCAAAGAATTGATGCCTTTGAATTGTATTGGAGAAGACTCTTGAGAGTCCCTTGGACAGCAAGGAGATCCAATCAGTCAATCCTAAAGGAAATCAACCCTGAATATTCATTGGAAGGATTGATGCTGAAGCTGAAGCTCCGATACTTTGGCCACCTGATTCGAAGAACTGACTCATTGGAAAAGACCCTGATGCTGGGGAAGGAAAAGAAAGAGAAGAAGAAGAGGACAGTAGAGGATTAGATGGTTGGATATCATCACCGACTCAATGAACATAAGTCTGAGCAAACTCTGGGAGATAGTGAAGGACAGGGAAGCCTGGTGTGCTGCAGTCCATGTGGTAGCAGAGTCAGACACGACTTAGTGACTGAACAACAAGAAGGCAGATGAGCAATTTACTCAAAATCACAACGATGACAAGGACCAGATAGACGGAGAGGAGCTCGGAGAACTTGTGTCTGTTATAGTGCAATTGATGCCAGCACTGTCATGGTCCCCTCTCCACTCTGGATGCTGGGGAGGAGTCCCCACCTGCAGGTTCTCACCACCCACCTGCACGCCACCTGGGCCAGTTACAGCAGCTGTGGTGGCAGGTAAAGCTGGGCTGCTCTGGGGCACCATGTCAGTCCCACCTGGACGGGATTAGTCGCTCTGACTTGAAGCCAAAGGATGTTCTCATTTCTTACACTGAGCAATGTGCTCGAGGGAATACTTATTACCTTATAAAAGCAAAAATTAGTGTGTGCTATGATTCTAAAATCTATGCAAAGAGGCTGATTTTCTGTAGACAAGCTCTAAA